GGGGACAGGGATGGGATAGGGACAGGGACAGGGACAGGGACAGGGACAGGGACAGGGATGGGACAGGGACAGGGAAGGGACAGGGATGGGGACAGGGACGGGGACAGGGACGGGGATGGGACAGGGACAGGGAAGGGACAGGGATGGGACAGGGACAGGGACACAGGGACAGGGACAGGGACAGGGGAGAGGGACAGTGATGGCAACAGGGACATGGACAGGGGACATGGAGGTGGCACTCAGACAGGCTGCGAGCCACCTCCCCAGCACACCTGGTCCTGTCCCCAGCCATGTCCTCGTGCTGTCCCCACCCATCTCTGTCCTTGTCACCACCTTGAGACTTGCTGTCACCACCCCGTCCCCAGACATGTCCCCAACCCCAGCTGTGTCCCTGTCACAGCCCTGTCGCCGTCCTGCCCCTGCTCATGTCCCCAACTCCATCTTGTCCCCATCCTGTCCCTGTCCCTGTCCCTGTCCCTGTCCCACCTTGTCATTGTCCCATCTTGCCCCTGCCACCATCCCTGTCCTGTCCCCACCGCCGTGTCCCCAACATCCCCAATGTCCCCAAAGTCCCCAACGTCCCCAACATCCCCAATGTCCCCAACGTCCCCAGTGTCCCCAATGTCCCCAATCTCCCCAACGTCCCCAATGTGCCCAGTGTCCCCAATGTCCCCAATGTCCCCAATGTCCCTAGTGTCCCCAACGTCCCCAACGTCCCCAATGTCCCCAGTGTCCCCACCTTGTCCAGGTAAATGACGACGTTGCTCCGCTCTTTGTCCTGGTCCAGCTCAAACTTGGAGATGTACCTGTCCACCCCCTCGGACAGCTGGGGACAGCGGGGACAGCGTGACACCGGGGACAGGGGACAGCGGGGACGGTGTGACACCGAGCACAGGGGACACCATGCCACCAGGAATGTGGGACATCAGGGACATTGTGGCACCAGGGCACAGGGGACATGTGGGGACACCAGAATGTGGGAGACTGGTGATACCGTGACACTGGGACACGTGGGGACACGTGGGGACACGTGGGGACATGCGGGGACATGCAGGGACACGGAATGGCATCAGGACATGGGGACACTCAGGGACATGATGACACCGAGATCGTGGGGACACGGGGGGATACGGTGACAACAAGACTGTGGGGACATGGTGACACTGGGAATGCAGGACACATGGTGACATGGAGTGGCATCAGGACATGGGGACACACAGGGACACGGTGACACCGAGACCATGGGGACACGTGGGGATACGTTGACACCGGGAATGCAGGACACATGGTGACATGAGTGGCATCAGGACATGGGGACATGCAAGGACATGGTGACACCGGGACCATGGGGACGTGTGGGGACACGGTGACACCGAGACCGTGGGGACACGCAGGGACAATGGGGAATGTGGGAGCGTGGTGGCACAGGATGGAACAAAGACATGGGGTCGCCATCTTTGTCCCCATATGCTCCCACCCCCTGGTGTCCCCATGTCCCCACAGTGTCCCCATGTCCCCCCAGTGTCCCCCCGGTGTCCCCATGTCCCCACACTGACCCTCCTCAGGTCCTGCACGTCCGGCGAGAAGCCCGTGAGCATGGACACGTCCAGGATGGACATGGTGGCATCCACGGTGTCCAGGTACCTGTGGGGACAGAGCTGAGGCCACCCTTGCCTGTCCCCAACCCCCGCAGTGTCCCCAGTGTCCCCAATGCCCCCAATGTCCGCAGTGTCCCCAGTGTCCCCAATGTCCCCAGTGTCCCCAGTGCCCCCAGTGTCCCCAGTGTCCCCAGTGTCCCCAGTGCCCCCAATGTCCCCAATGCCCCCAATGTCCCCAGTGTCCCCAGTGCCCCCAATGTCCCCAGTGTCCCCAGTGTCCCCAGTGC